AATTACAATGCACCTCTCAAAAATATATTATCTTGACCAGGAGGTGCACTCAATAGAAAGTTTTATTGTGGAAGCAATGTAGAGGTGCAACAATTGCTATAGTCTGTCCGGGTTGACTTCAGGACAAAAAGAACTTGAATAACTCGGGCAGCACAGTTGCAAACTTAAAGATTTTGTTGCAGCACAGTTTTTTAACTGATGCGCCTTGGCTGGTATAATATGAAGTGAAGTAGAAGAAGGACACATGGAAAACCAAGATTATACCAAACATCAAATGATTGCCGCTCGCCATCAGTTTATTTAGCAGCTACTTAACACTTGAGCTGTCCTCCATTTTGCTATTTCTGAGAGAGACCACACCTTCACCATTACAATGGGCGTGACTTTTTTAAATGGCGAGTGTAGGAAAAAGAGTGCAAAACAAGGAAAGAGACTGACTAGCCAGACTTAGGAAATCATTCTGAATGCTTATAACTATATTCATTCTGTGTCCAAGAATTCCAAAGCAAAAGAAGTTTATTACTGTCTTTTTATTAATTATACAAAATTTTGCTTATGATGCAAAATTTTTTGTGGCTGCTTGGACCACTTAGCGCCCACTTTGGATCCACTTAACATCTGAGCTCTATAATAACCACAATCATGCATAAATAATAAGATCTGAAGTCAACCTGGACAGACTATAATTGGGGCCAGTATGGTATTATAATGTAAATACATGTATGTACATTTATTGCTAATTAATATTAAATTATACATAAACAACATACACATGTACATGTACACATACCTTCTTACAACTGAACTGACCAGTAGTGATATTATCAAATAATAAACATTCAGTCACTAGTTGATTGTACTCATCCCGTCCACCAATCACTACTAGTGCAGGTGAGGTAGAGTCACCATTGATAATAGCACCAGCATGATCATATCTCTCCTTAGTCCAGAGTCCCTCACCAGATATTGATCCTTTTTTAATATTCTCCCAATGCTAAATACATGTACATGAAACACATGTTTAAGGTAAAACAAGTGATTTACATTAATTTATCAGTAATACATGTACATGTATGTCTGCTATTTTGAAAAGAATAGCCTTTTTCAAAACTTTTCTAATTGTCGCAGCAAAATCAGTTTTATTAGAATTGATAATCTCATGACTGTCATAATAATAATAACTTACTATTGTATTATGTGTCACATTAAATATGTACATATTATTAGTAACTGTAGTAAGACCATCATTAGTTACTACTCCTCCAAACATTATTCCTTTATTTTGATTTATTTTGTTGATTGTAAATTCACTAGTTGGTGGACAACACTGTCCACTGACAGATGGAACAGCGAATTGTCCTAAAAATACAATAAATATAAATAATTAATGATGTCATCATCTGTCACATCTCAACACATATTCACACAATTGATAAAAACACACTCACCATTAGATAGATTATAAAGTAACTGTCA